AAACATACATATGATCTTAAAAACATCTTACGGTCTCATTTGTGCGATCAAATTGCCAAAATAACATCATATACATAGAATCAAGCCTCAAAACACATGATTTTCTTTCAACTTTCATAAAACTCCAATTCCCCATTTTAAGTCCGAAACACGTCATATGACGTCCGTTTTTAGCCAAACTTTACAGATAGTGCTTAAAACATATTTAAGACTCGTACTGGGCGTCGGAACCAAAATATGAGCCCGATACCACAGTTTTCTGATCAATTTCCTTCTTCATTTTCCTTAATTAATTTCAGAAAATAATTTCACACAAAATTTCATTTCTCGGGCTTGGGACCTCGGAATTTAATTCCGGGCACACGCCCAAGTCCCATATTTTTCTACGGACCCTCCGGGACCGTCGAATCAGAGGTCCGGGTCCGTTTACCCAAAATGTTGACCGAAGTCAATATTATGCATATTAATATCAAAATCCATCAAATATTTTTTTCACATAATTCACATATTCTAACATAAAAACTTTCCGGCTATGCGCCCGAACTGCGCACGCAAATCGAGGCAACTAAAAGCGAGGTTTTCAAGGCCTCGGAAGCGCGGAGCAAGGAAGAACTACGGTGATGCCCCTTTGGATTGTCACAAAAGCCAATGCACCTCCTAAAGTAGCATCACGCAAAGATGTTTGGCACATGACTGCTTATGGAAAGGGGATTCAGTCTCTGCAGTCAATCATCTCTGTGAAGAAGCTAATGAATCAGTTAATCATCTCTGTCTACTTTGCATATGGACATGGCAATATGGATAACATTCCTGAATATCTTTGGTGTCCAGTGGGTCATGCCATGCATCATGAAGCAAGCTCTTCACCACTAAGTATAACAAAAATCTAAGCATTGGAAGGGATGCTGCAGAACAATTCCAGTATGCATTATGGACAATTTGGATAGAACGAAATCCAAGATATTTGAAGGGAAAAAAGAAAATTTATCTTAATTCTTAAGTATAGATCTTATAGTAATCTATATTTGTGGGACAAAAAAAACTGTTAATGGCATATATCTTATATTGGACTTGCTAGAATCCTAAAAAAACTTAGAAGGAGACAAGTCCATTATTATTTACCTCTTTGTAGCTCCTTGCTGAATTTTAATAAAATCCTTTACCTTTCGCGTCAAAAGTTATTACCAACTATTGATATTATTAATGGCTTGTGGGTAAGTTCACATGCTTAGCCGGTAGTGCTTAACAAATTTTTGTTTCGACAAGGAGTTCTTAGTGGTTAATTTTTGAGAATTTTTTTAACGGAGAAGGGCCTAAAATTCCTCATTAGATTTGGTACAATATTACCCTCTGTTCACCTATTGGGCTAAAATATCCTGACGTTAACCTTTTGGCTCAAGTTTGTTCTTGTTTCTAACTGTTCCCTTATGGTCGGGGGCATTTTTTGCGCGATTTGTAGACAAAGGGAAATATAATACCAAATCCCATAGTTTAGGTAGGCCCTTCTCTCTATTTCATAAAATAAATAAATTTCAACTAAATATGCATTCCCTTTGATATTTGCAATGCTCCATTAGCCTTCTTCTGGAGAAAAGATGATGTTTAAGAGTATTTTCTCTTATTTTTGTAATAATTCTCTCCAATTAAGGTCCATTAACCTATTGGTCAACAACATGAAATAAATCAATATTTATTTAACTATAGTTGCAAAAATTAGAATTATCATCGTAATTAAATGATAAAAGAATACACTCAGAGAACTAATTAGGAGAACTGAGACAATACCTTTTATATACTTATCCTCCATAAAAATCCTTACTGTTTAATTCCAGCAAGTTGTTAATTCTCATGTACTGCATCTCACGGATAGTTTACTTGCATTTGTCTATGTTATTTAAGTTACTCCATGTCTATCACCACCTGCAAATTAAAGATAATGAGAGATCTGTGTGAGGAAATAATTATGAACAATGAAAGTTAATATTTCTAAAAATATTTTAAATGATTAATGTAAGAAAAAAAAGCTAAACACTGCATATTCATTTTAAGCATTTAACTGGGAGGAGTAATCTAACGTGGGGGAGGTAAAGAGTTTCTACCTTCCTTTGATTAATATGGAATATGTAAAGGACGGAAAGAGAAAGTATAAAAAAAGAAAAAAGAATATTTATAGAGTTTGTAGAATGAAAAATTAAAAAAAAATCCAAAAAAGACTTTAGAAAAAGAGAAAAAATTTCTTATCCAAAGATAGGTGCACAGTCACTTTTTTTATATCAAAATCCATGCCTCACAAAAGTACAAAAGGAAAGCGATAATTGAGATGATTTTTCTGCCAAATGAATTTCAAGTCATGCAGCATTGGTACGTATTACTGTCAAGAAAAAATACTCTCTCAATGCAATTCCATATTTACCAACTAAAAGCTCATAATGCTTTACGATCTATAAGGTTTTCCTCTAATTCTTCTAAAACTATTCCACATGAATATTAGATATCGTTGCATTACAAGAGAGGCCCACAAAATATTAAGAGATAAATTTCAAGCAAATGTCAAATAATATAGTCAAATATAATACGGAGAAGAGCCAAAAATGCCCCTGGACTATGTGATTAGGTACAATATTGTCTTACGTCTGCTCATCAAGCTAAAAATGCCCCTGACTATAACGGAACGTTCGAAATAAGGGCAAACTTGAGCCGAAAGTTCAATGTCGGGGGTATTTTTAGCCCGATAGGTGGAAGGAGGACAATGTTATACCAAATCCCAATAGTTCAGGGGCATTTTACACCCGTCTCCGCTTTTATAATAATAATAATAAAAGGCCAAATACCTAGATAGCCCCTTAAAATTGGCACGTTTTGCAAGATAGCCTTATAAACTTATGGGGTGACCAGTTAGACAGTTATCCTTGACAGATGTGTTTTTGAAGCACAAGCAGTATTGTGAAGAGTGTGAAGCGAGGAAAAGCGACAACCCCATTTCACGAGAAGCGAGAAGCGAAGCGCTCGCTTTTTTTAAGTGAAGCGGAATTTTAAAAAAAAATTAAAATAAATACTGCATAGACAAAACAAGTAACTGTAAGCAAATGTTCAATACTTCAATTAAAAAACTAAAGAGTAGCATCAATTAAAGCACAAAATGAGCATCCTATTCTTCTACAAGATTGTCAAATTCTTGTATTCCACTATCAATATTATATTGCTCGTCATCTTCTTCAACTTCTTCTTCTTCATCAACTAGGGACAAAGTAACTGCCTCTTTTCCCTTCCTCTGTGAACTTGAAGTTGAGGTACTCCCCCTCAAACCATAAATCCTCTCCCCAATTCCACGCGCCTCCGCAACATCACCCCAAGTCAAATAAGAAGTATCCTCAAATACTTCTTCATCTGCATGATCTTCCAGGACTCCAGTTAGCCATTCATTTGCATCATCGATGTTGTCCAAACTAATTGGATCAATTACATTGCGAGCGTTGTAACGACGCTTCAATGTTCTATTGTACTTAATGAAGACTAGATCATTGAGACGCTTCAAGGTTAGTTTGTTCCTCTTTTTGATATGAATCTGCAAATAATAAGTAATTAGTAAGATTAGGACAATTGATATATAATTTAATTATCTCAATATACTAAATCTTTCTTCTTAGTTCTTACATGCTCAAACACGCTCCAATTCCTTTCACACCCGGATGAGCTACATGTTAGACTTAGAACCTTGATGAAAAACTTTTGTAAATCTGGAGTGGAATGACCATATTGCTTCCACCATTCAACTGTAGAAGTAGAACAAATTTTCAAAACATAATATTGGTAAAGAAATAACTTATTAACTATAAAACAACATATAAGCACTCGCTCACCTGGTGACTTCGTCTTTCTTTGTCTAATCGCCATGTTTTTTTTTCCAAAAAGTTGCCCAACATTCCTATAAATAATAAATTGCTTTGTTATTTTATGTTGCATGAATTCTTCAGGTATCAACTTCTCAATACATTCATAGAATCCATTCCACAAAGGTTCATCTCCTAGAATCCTCTCTTCATTGTCATAAAACAGTTCCTGGTTCAAAACAAGTCCAGCTGCATGCAAAGGGCTATGAAGCTTACTATCCCACCTTTTATCTATGATCTCAAAGTCTCTTTTGTATTTTCTTTGATCACTAAAAGAGGCTTGAATAACCTCCTTTGCCCTATCAATTGCTTCGTACAGGTAGCCCATTGATGGCCTTTGCTCCCCATCCACCAAACGAAGCACTTTAACTAGAGGACCACCAATCTTCAATGCATGAACCTCATTGTTCCAGAATGAAGGAGAAAGTATAATATCTGCAGATTCTCTCCCTCGAGCTTCCCTTCCATAGACACTGTTAGTGTACTCATCTGAAACAAACAACTTCTTCAAATTGCTTTTTTGCTCATACATCCTATGCGAAGCCAAGAAAGCAGTAGCAAATCTTGTCTTTGCAGGTTTCACCAAGTTTCTTCGTTTAGTGAATTTCTTCATCATGTTCAATAACAAAGGCCTTTGAACAATATAAGAATGCACTTAATTGCCTGATTAAAGACTGTACTGAAGGGTCTTTCCTTGAAGATGTCACCGAAGATCGAATTAATGGAATGTGCTGCACACGAAGTCCAATAGATATACGGGTACCCAACAGACATCAAATCGCTAGCTTTAACATTTTCACTGGCGTTGTCCGTGACAACTTGAACAACATTTTCTGCTCCAATAGAGTCTATTGTACTCTTGAACAAGGAGTACATTTTGGTTGAATCAGTCGAAGAGTCGCTTGCATCAACGGACTCAAGAAACAGGCTTACCTTAGGAGAATTCACCAAGATATTGATGATCATTTTTTTCATTTCTCGCTGTCCACTTATCCATCATAATGGAACAACCAAACTTGTTTCATTCTACTTTGTGCTCCTCCACGATTTTGTTCACCTCTGCCACCTCTTTCTTTAGATATGACCCTTTAACTTCATAATAAGTTGGAGGCTTCATTCCTGGACCATATTGGTCTACGGCCTCAATAAAAGCAGCAAAAATGTAAGTATAATTAACACAATTAAAAGGAAGGCCTGCATCATACATCACCGCACAAACATTGTAACTACACGATCCCTCAAAATCGCTTTGGCATCAATTTGAGTATTACCACTTTTTCCTCCCTTATCTCCAGATTTTTGCGCGAAGTAACAATCCATTGCCAGTAGATCCACAACTAGAAGACATTGGTGGAAGCATCCTTCCCCGCTTTTGTGATTTTGGTGAAGGCGACGAAGCATCGTCGCCTTGTTCTGTTTCATCATCATCATCATCATCATCAAGATTATAAAGTTCTTATTCATGAATCATTTGAGTCTTTAACTCTTTCTTTTTTTGAAGGTATGCTATCAATTCTTCCTTCACATGCTCCGAAACTTTAGTGCAAGATGCGACATTTGAATCACCACCGATTAGATGCGCATTTTGGCGATAGACTCCCCCATTTGAAATCTTATCACAAAAAAGGCATCTAATGGCCATTTTGTTGGTCTCGCTAACTCTTGAAGAGTAAGCCCAAGTCGGGTCTTTCCTATCTTCTTTTGGCGCCATTAAAAGAACAACTACATAACACATAAGAAAGACAATAAGAACTAAGAATAAAGGATATAAAAAATTGGGTAGAAATTGGGGGCAGAAAGAACTGAAGGTAAAAAAAAATTCGCCAAAGCATTTCGTTGCTTTTTGGACATTTAGAAATAAAAAGAAAAAGAAGAAGAAGAAGAAGATGAAAATTAAAAGTGCAGAAGCAGAACATACCTGTACTCTTGAAGAAGAAGAAGAACAACCCTTGATGCTTTGAGATAATTTCAGAAATCTGAAGTTGATGAAGAAGAAAAGAAGAAATCGTGGCTCTTGTTGAAGAAAAACCCTAGTCTCGCTGCTGTTGAAGAAGTCCAGACAGTGTTTACTGTTTACAAACTCGTTTTTTAATAAAATAGGGCTTGGGTTAATTTTAAACACAGAAGCGGACGCTTCTCTCGCTTCTTCTCGCTTCACCGCTTCTCGTTTTTTACAGAGAAGCGATCACTTTTTCGTATCAGAGTCGCTTCAAAGACCTGACGCGCTGCCCTTCACGCCTCGCTTCGCTTCTCGCTTAAAGCGACGAAGCGAGCGCTTTTTTAATCACTGAACACAAGTGTCTGATATGGCAAACTACGTGTATCAAAGACGCTTTTGAGCTCATGAGAGTGTTTTTTCTTTAATCTGTTTCTCATTTTATATCTGAAAAACTCCCTAAAATTTTCAGCTAGTCTCCTTCCCATCTCCGACGAGTACCTAACCGGAAAAAATGGCCACTCCTGCCCAAACTAGTAGAGAAAAAAAAAAGTCGTAGGCAGTGAACTCACTCCCCAGTTTGTGGACGTCACAGGCAATACAATAACATCCTTCGCTGCTTCAATCTGAGAGAGGATATCCCGAATGACCTCAACATGAAGGTAATCCACACCAATGAAACAAGTAAATAAAAATTGAACCCAAAATTGATTTTCTCAGCGAAAACTTAAAAATCAAACCAAATAGAAGCACAAGGAATTGCAACCCCTCAAGCCTTTTGCAATTTGTAACAAAAATCAACACCAACCCAAGAACTATAGTAATTACTGATCGTAAAGCTTAAAAATACTTGTCTGTTTGTATACCCAATCGAGAAAAGTTCTTATTTTTGGTGATGAGCTTGCTTCGGAAAAGTTGCTCCGTCTACAAACGATTTGTTTAATGCAAAGGTCCAAATTCAGACAAAGAATTGATCAAGAACAGAACTAAAAGAAACAGAGACATGAAGAAGAAGTGGGGACGGACGAAGGGTCTAGTATATGGTCCAGGGGTGGGGAAAAGGCATTGGTCTGGGCGGCTTTGGTTTTTTTTTTTAATTGCATTTATTCTATTTTTAGTTATACTTGACAAATTTTTCTCTTTCAAGTTCCACATGTTTTTTAGTAGTTGGTTTACTTTGCACACCATTCGCATGTGGGTTTCACACACTTGCTTTTATGGACACAAGTGTTCACAAAATACACCTCTGTCAAGTATAAGTGTCTAACTGGTCACCCCATAGTTTATAAGGCTATCTTACAAAACTTCCAAGTTTAGGTGGCTATCTAGGTATTTGGCCAAAAAAAATTGAACTTATCTTATGGAGTGTCAAAGACCGGTATTTTCATGGGCAACAACTGCTTCTTTTCAATTGATAATCATGGACATATTCCTTTGAATAAATCAGGTGAAGGTGACGTTCATTTTAAGAATTCTCAACAAGGTGGTTCGCTTTTTAGCATTACAAATCAGAACCTTGTTAGGTTAGTTGGATACTTGATATAGCAAAGTTGGCGGAGTGGAGCTCATTGGCGGTGAACTCTTGGCCCTTGAGTACCTCCATGGATTTAGTATACCTGCCTCCTCTTCTACTTTAGGGCAGCCTGGTGCACAAAGCATCCTGCATTCACGCAGGATCCGGGAAAGGCCGCACCCCTTGGGGTGCGATGTAGACAACCTACCATAATGCAAGCATTAGTGGCTGCTTCCACGACTCGAATCTGTGAATTGGTCACAGAGAGATAACTTTACCATTACTCCAAGACAACCTACCCTCCTCTTCTACTTTCCTTGTAATAAACCAAAATATCTCTTCATCTATCTCTCCTTCTTTCCCTCTCTCTCCCTCTCGTGTGTGTGTGTGTCAAAATTTTATTCAGTATTCAGTTTAATTTGTGTGCCCCAATTGTATAGGAGCAAACTTTCGTGAAAGTGCAAAACATGACACTGTTTCGGGACATTCTTACTTTCCTGACAGCTAATCTTTTGTGGAGAATTATGCTCCAGGCCTGGCATAAATGAGCCGATTACCTTTTCTATCACATGTGGGTCACATATCTGACATGGTTGAGCAGAAGCGTTTTCTGTTTGGATCTTTACCACTCAGCAAATGGAGTTACGCCAAATAAAGATTTAAACCTTCTAAATTAGGAACAACTCAGCTCTCCCCCCCCCCCCCCCCCCCCAACCCAACCCCAATATTTATCCAATAAATTTCTTTGGGTTGATCAGAAGCGGGAGAGATAAAGAGGATGGAGGCAAATTCAAGAATTATATCGGTGGAGTTTGAACTACAGTCTTGTCTTTTCTTTCTTGGCCTTGTCATTTCTTCAGAAAGCATTCAATATTTGGTTTAGGCATGAAGGATATAGTTCATGCTTCCTTGAGATATGTTCCGCTATAGAAACTGTGGTACACCTGATAATTACCATTTCTGGCAATTCTTGTGCAATGCACTGCCTTAACAATGTAGTGTTCTGTACTCCCAAAAATATATCATTCAATGTGAATGTATTGTTCATGAAAAAGTATTCATTGTCTCATTGAATTATTTCTGCAGGAAATTCATGATTACTTGAAGACTCTTTGTCCTGACTTGCATATTAGTCGAGGGGAATATGATGAGGAGACACGTTACCCAGAAACCAAAACACTGACCATTGGTCAGTTCAAGCTTGGATTATGCCATGGGCACCAGGTCTGAACACTAAACTTTCTTCTTTCCTTTGTCCTATTTTGAACTGATGATAAGCTTGATGATTCCTTAATTATGAGGTAACTCTGCGGTATTCAAGTGATCTGAGTGGCATTTGCTGTAGCTACTTGTTAATTGTTGTCTGGGATAAATCCTAACACCTAAGTACTCTTTGCTCAATCATATGATGTTTGTCATCTTTACTATGTGTCAACATGCACTATGTGTGTGTTTTATATGCACCTTCTGGCATATATACCATTATATATACAGGTGCCGATATTGAATCACCCAATTTGATAAGACCTTGGAACTTTTTCTAAGCATGTTATGTATTGTAAGAGAATGAATGAACTTATTGAATATTGTCCCTGAGGAGAATTAATTTTGCTGCACCTGTAAGATAGAAATACGTTTCCTTGGTGGTAATAGTCTCTCCTCTTGTTTCTTGTCCTGAAGGTTGTTCCGTGGGAGGACTTAGACTCTCTAGCCATGCTCCAGAGGCAATTGGATGTCGACATACTTGTGACTGGCCACACCCATCAGTTCACAGCATACAAACACGAAGCAGGGGTGGTTATAAATCCAGGATCTGCCACTGGTGCCTACCGCAGCATCACTTATGACGTCAACCCCAGCTTTGTTCTCATGGACATTGATGGCCTGCGTGTTGTGGTCTATGTTTATGAACTCATTGATGGAGAAGTTAAAGTTGACAAGATCGATTTCAAGAAAACATCAACAACATAGAATATTCATTGAACAAGAAGACTCGTGTGCTACAGATTTCAATCAAGGCCCAAGTGTTAATACGCCATTGCTCCTATTTGGATAGTTTTCTTGTTGGTATGTTTGTGTTTGAGTTATTCAAGCCTGCTAGATTAATATATAAACCAAATCAAACTAAAGATAAAACGAGTTTCATCCGTTTTTGTTTTAAATGGTTTTGTGATTCTTTTGGGATCAATTGTACATTATGATCTAAAATAAGTTGTTCGCATCTTTTTCTTGATCAACTTTGGCTCTTCTAATTATTATTAGGTCCCTAGATTGATATGTGAAAACAATGCTAAAGAATGTACAATATTCATGTGGTGTTATGTTCAAATAGTAACTCATATTTGTGTATGCTCCAAAGGTAACTAGCGAAATGCTAAAAAAAGTTATCTTATTTCATTTCTTTCTATCCAGAGGTGACTTGGATTGAAATTCAATGTTGATTTAGGACTAATTTTAAGATGGTTAACTACTAGTTTTGGTTCTTTTATTTTTTTGAAACCAAGTATTCGGATTTAGCTTTGGAAAATTTGGTTTATAAAAAAGGATTATGAATAAATATTAGGGCAGATTTAAACAAAATGGATGAAGGGGGAGCAACATTGCAGAAAAGCCCCATTTTCTGGATTTGGTTATGTTTTACAAAATGAAATAATATGTTGCCTAAACTGAAAAAAAATAGAGTAATTGGTATCAGAAAATACACTACCTTTGGTTTCTAAACAAAATAAGCCCGTTAATCTTAATACATTAAACTGAGGTTTTTCTATTTTGATGACTTCACAGGAATACTTGAAAATTACATGTAAGACAAAGCAACATAAGTAGAAAATCATTGTGCCTCAGTTGCCACCTTAATGAAGACATCCTCCAAAGATGTGTCAGCCAAACCCCAAGATTGGACAGTAAACTTCTGCTTTGCAAGTTTAACTGTTAGAAATACATCAAAAATTTTAGCCTCGTCTTTTGGCAGCTCAAATTTCTGGGTTCCATACAAATGGTAAGTCTTCTTAGCATGTGGAGATAGATGTTTCACTAACACCTCCACATCTCTTTCATGTTCTGGTGAGGTTGTCATGGTGAACATGTACGATCCTCCGTACCTAGCCTTTAGCTGTCATTCGCATGAACAAATCAAAGAAATCCAATCCAAGCTTTTATGTGATGGTCATAAAGGGCAGCCCGATGCACTAAGCTCCCGCTATGCGCGGGGTCCAGGGAAGGGCCGGACCACAAGGGTCTATTGTACGCATCCTTACCCCGCATTTCTACAAGAGACTGTTTCTACGGCTTGAACCCGTGATCTCGTGATCACATGGCAACAACTTTACCAATTACGCCAAGGCTCCCCTTCTGTTATGTGATGGTCATGTTGCAAGTATTTTAATTGTGAGTTTAAGAAAATAGGCATTACCTCATCTATAGTTCCCAAGCACTGGAAGTTTCCATCAACAAAGATACCTATCCTATCACAAAGATATTCAGCCTCGTCCATGGAGTGTGCTGAGAGAAATAGAATGATATGACATCAAGGCTATGACGTCGAGCAATCATTCAAGTTACCATTAATGTAACAAAGGAAAACTGATACTAATTGTTTATAACAAAGAGTGAAGTGAAGTGGAGTACCGGTAAGAATGATTGCTCGATCTTGTTTTGCACACTTCACAACATCCCACAGCATTTTCCTTGAAGCAGGATCAAGTCCTGTGCTGGGCTCATCCATATAAATAACCTTCAAATTTTAAAAGAGCCTCCATCAACTTTTGTCTAATAGGAATGCACAATGTTAGGACAAATAATACAAGTGGACAGAGACTTAGACGCATACTTTAGGGTCCCCGATCAATGAGATGGCCACACTGAGTCTTCTCTTCATACCTCCACTATATTTTCCTGCTGCTTTGTCACCAACTCCACCTTGGAAAAGATTGAAACTTTTGAGAGATTCCTTCACTGCCTTTTCCAACACAATTCAACCAAACCATCACTCAGTATGCTCTAAACAGTTTTCTGTCAAGGAATAGAAATTATTTTGCTGGTAACCTTGTAAGAAACATACTGGCAGCAAATTATAGTCAATAAACCGACGAATACAAAGGACCTTTGATGGAACGTATTGTCCACATCCGGTTTATCAGTTCATTTGTTACGATCTACCAAATAATCACATGTACAAATTATTTCAGAGCAGCATTAGCCAGTTAATTAGCTTTTTCTTCAATTTGTATACACTCTGTAAAAATACGCATCACACATACACAGTGAGCGAGCATACTAAAAGCTGGAGAACAGTTTCATCCTTTTTCAAATTCAAAGTTGCACAAGTTAATAAATCAAAATATTGAGGAACTGTGCAAACAACGTCTCAGGTTTTACTTCTATGTAGTATACGTTAATAAGAAACTGAGGGGTTATATTCACGTACTTGGCTTAACGCAGAACCCTTGAGATTTTTTAATCTTCCATAAAATAATAAGTGTTCCCTTCCTGTTAGGGTCTCCCAAAGCAAGCTTTATGATTGATAAGAAACATGGAAAATGAGACAGGTTAATACTTTAAGATGCAAAGGGGATACATAAGTTCTTCCATTTGCCTACAATGAAAGTATATGTACTTACTCATGTTGTGGACACACACCCATACTGCCATATATTTCATTCATTTGAGTCCTCAAATCTAAACCTTCAATATATGCTGCTCCAGAGCTTGGCTCCAAGAGCCCAGTCATCTATCACTCAAGAACAATTATTGATAAGTTTCAACGTCTAGAAAATGCTTGTGAAAATGCAATTACATGACAATCTATAAAAAAATTCGACCGAGCACAAGGAACCATGTCAGATATGGTAAAATATTTATTATCATTTGATCAAATTTTTACTAACCATACTAATGAAGGTAGTTTTGCCGGCACCATTTGGACCAAGCATTCCAAAGCACTCTCCGCATGGTAATGCAAGAGATAATTCTTTGACAGCAACTTTATTGGGGTTCCCATCCTTCCCTGGATACATCTTTTTGAGGTTATAGCATATGGCAGAATAGTTGGGGTGTGGCTGATTCAGCAACTGCTCGACCTTCTCCCTCTGTAAAGCAAGCCAGGAAACTACAATGAAATGATCTACACAACAGGGAAGTAATAAGTATATTCAAATGACCGCTACTTGATCATGGCAAATGTAGATATGATCAAAGAAATGTTAGGGATCTGAACAAGAGTTTGTACTATAATGCCTGAATCAATGGTCCTCGAAGTGACGTATCAATTTGAGGACTCCTCTTCATGAAAAGGCTGAGTGAGAAAAAGGCAATATGAGTTACCTCTCGGAGAACATCATTGTCTTCCATTTGAACACTAGATTCCTGGCTCTGAAAAGATGGTTTCTGAAATGATGCTAAATGCTTCTTCTGAGAACTCGGCAAGAAGAATAAAGGACTCCTGCGGTTCCCCGTTTCAGATGATATAACTTGATCCAAGTAATAGGCAGCAATCAGAAATACTACCCACTCCACTGACATAATAATTAGAACCTCTCTCATGCCATTACTGCTGCTACTGAGGTACTCCCAATACATTCCATAAGTCCCTATTTTAAATGCCCCTTGTGCAAATTTGGACAGCTCATATAACCCTCGATACAGCGAAAAACCAGGGTACAATTCCAAAACAATAAGCCAACCACCTAAACCAGAGAAACACTTGTTACATCATTAAAATCGAAAAGTACATGGGCATAGAAAGACCCTCACAGATAAATGGCAAAAGTAGAATCTCCAAGTATTACAAATTGATATAAATATTTCCTCACAAAAGAACTGCTTGGGTAATCAAAACGTGAGGATTTCTAATTCCACTTAAATGCAATGAGAACAGGGAGACAATCATAATGATCCAGACAGCCAAATTCAGATGGAAGCATTTCGCCACATAGTTTTCCAATGAACTTACAAATGATGCTATGATAAATCAGAACTACACCATCACTCCAGAAAGTAAGCTATAAAAAGTTTCTCTGGTGAGAACCAGGACACACCAAGTGACAAATATTGCACAAGTGTCTATGTTTTTTCTTCCTACAACCATAATCTATCTAAGAGATATCAACGGACAGCTGCAATGTGTTACAAGTGGTGTAATAGAAAGAAGAACCACTCTCGCAGAGAAGAAAAAATTCGTAGTACAAACTTTTGACCTTCAATATTTGTATCTCTTGTTGCGGAAGCCAAATGTATATAGTGTGAATAAGTCACAACTACTATACCAAAAATTATGACAGCCACCAAATAATAAATAAGACAATAAAACAACAATAAAGGGAACACCAGAATTTACGAGGTTCGGCTAATTTTGCCTACTCCTCGGACACAACCAATATTTTATTTCACTCCAAAAATACAAGTGAAATAATACTAAAGAGAGAAGATACAAATGCCTTAAACAGATGAGAAGGCAAATGAGAGGTGTGTTTCAATCCTAAACATTAGGCCTTCTTTTATAGAGGAAAAATCCCCCCCAAACTTAACTCCCAACCAATGTGGGACTTTGGCATTTTGCCAAACTTCAACATCTCTATCACCTTGAACTAATCAAGTCTATCAATTATTTAGCATGTTGCACTAAACCTTATATTTTGCCAAAAGATAAACTGACAAATCAGTGGTTTCAACTCTAGTTGCCTCCTTGCTGATAGCTTGTAAAATTGTTCATGCGGATGGAGAAAATGATTAAGATCCAGAAAATAAACAGTTTGCTCTCTATTTTCACTGAGAGGGTTAAAAATAAATTTCCCGTGCTTAGTTGCCATTGATTCCAAAAGGAATAGAGGAGAAAGATTTGTTCCTAGGGAAATTCTTCATAGTGGATAAGGTGTAGGGAAGGGTAAAAGAGAACAATAATTCAAGACCTGATGCAGCCTAAGTTCCTTGATAATGTATTAAGTATCAGATCTCTAACAAATAAAACAGACAACATACCCAGTGTAATCCCACAACTGGGGTCTGGGGAGGGTGGTGTGTACGTACTCCTTACCCCTACCTTGTGTAGGTAGAGAGTTTGTTTCTGATAGACTATCGGCTCAAATCAAGAATGCATTAAAATTAGCATAAAAGATAATTCAAATTAACTTTTTAACCTACTTACGAGGAAATGATGCATCATTTACGAGTGGCTGGAAAAGAAGAAAAGCCATGATCCCCGTACCGAAGACAATTGTATAAGCAACAACTGCAACATTCAATATTATGGTAGTTATTCATCTTATTTGAGTTGAATATTCATGTATTAAAAAGGACCTAGTAACGAGATTCTTACTGATACAGACCTGATGCTGTCTTTAAATTAGCAAATAAGGCAGCTAACAGGAAGGCGAAAGATATTTGCAAATTTGTGAAGACAAAGTAAAAGATGCACTGGACACCATAAGAATTCAGGTTGAATATTGTTAACCCTGTAAAACAAGAAAACATAATGAACCAGCTAGTTTAAATGAGAGAGAACGACCGCAGCTTAGTTTTGTATGTATTTACCTGTCAGTACTCCAAATACAAAGTAACAGGACATGTAGATTAAAGATATAGCAAGAAAATATATGTAAGAAGTCACCCAATAAGCGCCATCTCCAAGTCCGTGCATCTTCATCATGATCCGTAACTTCTGTTGCCTCTCGTAAACAAGAGATGATAATACAACCTACAGTAAAAACAACATCCTATTATTAAGATGAAAAGAATACGACTTTAACTATTCCGTTGCATTATATGTCTTAATTTATTGCTTAGAAGTGGGACAATGGTTAGAGTGTATGCTTATTTAGTCCAAATGGGAAAAGAAACTTCAAATTGTTTTACCTTCATAGTCAGGCAAGTAAATCTGTTCTAAAGTGTAGAAAACACCTAATATAAGTAATAAACGCTTCATCTTTCTTGCACTTTAAGCTTTTAAATGAAGCAGTTCACCAAAATCAAGATGATATCTAAACAGATGGACGTCCCAATTTCGAGTCTCAACACAACCTATCATCAAATTATCTCCACGTGCTTAACTCATAAAAATAAAACTAAACTAGGCCTGCACATGAGTACGTGTGTTGCAGATCTAAATTATAAATAAAATAAAGTTTTAGATGAGGCACTTCACACAATTTAAAAATACACCATAGAGAGACAGAATTTTCTTTTTCATGTATTTAAAAATACACCATAGGTAGATTATATGCGAAAAGCAAATAATGTAGACACAATTTAGGAACATTAGCAACAACCCAAGTGAAGTGGATTAACCGTGTAATATTGAGGAAAGAGTATTTTCATCTGCAGATTATAAATGACTGAATGAAGTTTCTTAGTAAGAAGTAAGAACTGAGAATGATAGCACATGACCAAGACATTTAGAATCAAATCTTTTGCGATTATTCATGTTCGTAAGCAATAATGTGGACGACCAAAATAACTAAACTTGAATGAAAGCCAACGATCAAGAAAGTAGATACTTGTAGATGATAATTGCAAATAACTTCCACCATAAGCATTCAATTATGACACTCTTAACAAACCAAATAGATAGTTACCGGGAATATTTGTAGAATGACCCATGTAAAAAAGACAACAACAACAACAACGACCCAGTATAATCCCACAAGTGGGGTCTGGGGAGGGTAATAT